TACTACTCACTGTACTGCAGTAGTACTACTCACTGTACTGCAGTAATAGTACACACTGTACTGCAGTAATACTACACACTGTACTGCAGTAATAGTACACACATTTATATCGGTTCAGAATCAATCAGTGACCTCGTTACCTCGGTCTGCTGACAGAGCTGCACTCAAGGAACACCCATGATGCACCAGGGCTGACTACCCGTCTGTCACCTTTAACTCATCCTCACCTCACCCTCCTCATCCTCACCGTCATCATCCTCATCATCCTCATCAGAGCAGGTGTGAATGAACTCTGTTCTCAGTGAAACTCTTTACTTAACTAATGGAGTGAAACTTACACCTTCACAGTACACTGTGTACAAGTATCATGTTGTGGTAGTTATGTGTTCTTGAAAGTACTGAGCAATGCTAACAGACTGGAACTAAGAAGTAATGAATCTATATAAATCCATTAAAGTTCAATTCTCTTCCCTCTGACACACTGAGGAGACGTCTTGATGTCGCCTCACTGGTTTCGTGTTGCTGATGAACTCTTTGTGTTCGTTTCTTTCTTCTGCTCTGAGAAGCTGAAACGTGATACGAGAGATTCTTTCTTCAAAAGCACTTTAAAACATAATTGCTATGTTGTCAAGTTTCTTTTCATTTACTTTTAGTGTTTTGTCTCATCTCTCATATTTTAAACTTTTGTTCTGAACAATAAAAACTGCAGTTTTGTGTAGAACAACATGTAGTTAAAAGTAGCATTATGTTCTTCTTATGTATACATATTTTTCATGTCTTGAAATAAAAGGTGACATTTTGGATTGAAACACATCTGTGTCTGTTGTTTATAATCTAACAGATTATATTAGTAATGTACTAGTTGTAGTATATTAATGGTATTATATTAATATTACTCAGTATTCAAACAGCTCTTCACTGTTCAGTTGCTTTTGTTTATCTTCTGTTGTCTGTATTTGATTTCTCTCTGAGCTGATTCTAATCTGACCTGCAGCTATTTACAGCTGGAGACCGTGCTGAGATTAACAGATCACACACACACACACACACACATCCCAGATCAGACTCTGCTGATTATGAACTCTAACTATAAAGTGTTTTCTTTGTATTATATATTGTATTTAACACACAGAAACTGACTGTTGATCCATCGCTCAGTAACTGTTGTGATGAGTGGGTTTGCTGAGTCATGAGTGGCAGCAGCTGTGCTGAGGTCCGATGTGGTCTCTGTGTGTTGCAGTACCTTTCTTCCTCCACCAGGGTCCCTCTCTGACCAAGTACGACACGTCCTGGAACTCGATGTTGACCGATGATCTCCGTGGTAAAGAGGAGAACCTGTGGGCCTCCGTCAGGTTGTTGTCCACCTTCTTCAGGTGTCCCTGCAGCAGCGGCGTCTGCTGGACGCCCACCGGCCGCTTGTCGACCACCTCGTCCATACAAAGGCACACCGTCCGGGGGTCCAACATGAGGTCCGGGGGCCCGTTGGTGTTCTGAGGGTTTGAATCGGATCAGAACAGCTGATAACTTTAAATCATCGCAGACGAACAATCAGACATCAATCGCTTCATCTGAGGGATTTATTCTGTGTTTGTATAATAATCAATATAAGATATTCTTTCCTACTTTGTACTTTGACTGCTGAACAGTTTCTATCTTCTCTGAGGAGACGTCTGTCCTCTTTGGACTTAATGTCAGAATTATGAAATCTATTTTGTCGTGGATTCGCTTCCTTTCCTAACATGAACAATGCGTCGTGTAGGGAAGTCAGGTGGAGGTTGGGTCACAAACAAAGGACTTTCACCAGGAGACTGTTTCTGTCTTCAGTGAAGATGTACAATCCTGTTTCAGTGACGGTGTTGACGATGACCACCGTGACCACGGGGACAATGTTGTTGACGACGTTGTCGGCAACGTTGGTGATGACGTGTTGATGACGGGTGACGACATTATTGGCGGCGATTGACGACAGGGACAATGTTGTTGACGCTTAAGACAAAGACGATGTTGTCGACGTTGACGATGTTGTTGACAATGTTGTTAACAATGTTGTTGACGATGATGACGTTGACGATGTTGTTGACAGTGACGACGGTGACTATGTTGTTGACGATGTTGTTGATGATTTTGTTGACGGTGACGACGGTGAGTATGTTGTTGACGATGTTGTTAACGACGTTGTTGACGGTGACGACGTTGATAACGGGTGACGACGGTGACTATGTTATTGACTATGTTGTTGACGGTGACGATGGTGACAACGTGTGATGACGGTGACTATGTTGTTGACAATGTTGTTTACGGTGGCGATGTTGTTGACGATGCTGTTGACAGTGTTGTTGACACTGACGATGTTGTGACAACGGTGAAAAAGGTGTTGATGGTGTTGGTGTTGACGGTTACGGTGACGACAGTTCTAGTCACGTTGACGGTGTACCGTTACTGATCTAACTATGTGTGTAATGTGACGGACAAACAGGAAGCAGTTTAGTCTGACTTGAGGACGAGGCCGTCCTGCTGGAAAGCCACAGACTGTCAGTAGATGTCAGAATAACTGTCAGCTGCTTCTCTGTTGTTGTGTAGGTGAGCATCATCCTGCTTCCATAAGGTCACTAATCGGCCTCCATACAGCAGGTCACTGTCACACTGTTTACTATCATATACAGTATATAACACATCATGTCTCTAATAAATGTCCAATATGTCTCTAATAAGTCCCAAGTATCTTAGTGTCCTCCACTATGTCTCCACTATGTCCCCAGTACGTCCTCACTATAGCTCCAGAATGTGTCCACTATGTCCCCACTATAGCTACAGAATGTGTCCAC